CCCCAAAACCCCAAAACCCCAAAACCCCAAAACCCCGTTTAGAGCCTATACGATTGGAAGAAACATAATAAATAATTCCCGCAAATTACTAAAAACATGAGCGGTTTTGAAAGCAGCCAGGTATACTACACCTTCCAAGGCCAAACCACGGAGCAGGAGAATGAAGATGAAGCCAAGATGGGCAAGGAGGAAGCCCTCATCAAGTTCATTAGATTCATTAGAGAGTGGAAGAACGATGACAAATACTTTTACAGGTAATCCTAACTGTCTAGGGAGTGCTAATCTTGTTATAGGGAGCAGCTCAATGAAAACGTTAGCAAGGATATGCACCTCCTCTTGGTTGACATTGACGATCTGTATAATTTTGACAGTAAATTATGCTCAATGCTGAGAAATCACCCATTTGAATATTTAAAAATCGTAAGTTATTCCGCCATAAGCATTTAGTTCGAAGAAGCATGCCAAGAAGTGTATGCATCATTGAATTCTGAAGATCCCTTTGGCCCACCACTATTTGAGGTGCAAATCAGAAGTCTCGAGGATCCCCGCATGCTGAGGAAGTTGGATAGTGAAATGGTTAATAAAATGATTGTCGTCCCTGGAATCATCACTTCAGCCTCTAAAAGCCAGATCAAGGCATCCAAGTTGTGAGTTAGATGCAGAAATTGTGGTGACACTAAGCAGATTATTCTCAAATCAGGACTAGCAGGCGCTTATGTGCCAGGCCATTGTGATAGAGCATCTCAGGAGAAGTGTCCACCATCCCCATATTACGTTGTGCCAGAGGAATGTGAGTATAAAGACTACCAAAGCTTGAAAATCCAGGAGGCTCCTGAATTAGTTCCCACTGGGGAAATGCCAAGATCATTCACTGTCAGTTGTGAAAGAAACCTTGTTGATAAAGTCACACCAGGAATGAGAGTCGTGATTGTTGGCATCCTTTCCATCCTCAACAGAGCTAAAGGCATGGGTGAGTCCAAGTCATCCTCTACAATTGGCAGAACAGTCAAAATTTCATACATCAGTGCTATCGGAATCCAGAAAGAGTCAGGAGAGAACTCATTAGGATTCGCTCTTCCTCTTCTCAAAGATGATGACAAAGAGAAAATAATGACTATGGCAAAAGACCCAGAAATTTACCATAAGATCGCTAAGAGTATCGGAGGTGCCATTTATGGAGGAGATGATATCAAAAAGGCCATCGCATGCTTACTCTTTGGAGGATCCTCCAAGAAACTACCAGATGGTATGAAGCTCAGAGGAGAAATCAACATTCTCTTATTGGGAGACCCATCTACAGCCAAATCACAGATGTTGAAGTTTGTCGAAAGAGCAGCTCCAATCGCTATTTACACCTCAGGAAAGGGATCAAGTGCAGCCGGTCTTACTGCAGCAGTCATCAAAAACTCCCAATCAGGAGAGTTCCAGCTTGAAGGAGGAGCAATGGTGCTTGCTGATGGTGGAGTTGTCTGTATTGATGAGTTCGATAAGATGAGAACTATTGATAGAGTAGCCATCCATGAGGCAATGGAACAGCAAACAATCAGTATTGCCAAGGCAGGAATCACCACCATCTTGAATTCTAGAACTTCTGTTCTTGCTGCAGCTAATCCAATAATGGGAAGATATGATGACCTTAAGCATGCAGCTGAGCAGATTGACTTCCAGAGTGCTATCCTCTCCAGATTTGATTGCATCTTCATTGTTAGAGATATTAGAGATGAAGAAAAAGATCGTAAATTGGCTAATCATATCGTATCTCTGCACGCAGGAGCTGATAATTTTGACGTTGAAAAGACTGAGATCGACATTGAACTTCTCAAGAAATATATCACATATGCCAAGGTTCACTGCTCTCCAAGACTATCTCCAGAAGCAGGATCCCTTCTCAAAGATTTCTATGTAAAAGATAGGACAGAGTCAGACTTCGGTGAAGGCACAAGATCTAAAGGAGGAAGAATCCCTATCACTGTCAGACAACTAGAAGCTATTGTCAGATTGTCAGAGTCTTTAGCTAAAATGCAGCTCAGAGATGTTGTAACAAGAGAGAATGTAGAAGAAGCTCACAGAATATTCAAAATTTCAACTCTCCATGCTGCAAAATCTGGTATCTCAAGCAACTTCAGTCTACCAGAAGAGCTCAAAGGGGACGTTAAGAAGGTCCAGGAGCTTATTAGAAGAAAATTCGCTATTGGGTCAAAGCTGTCTTACTCAAAGCTTCAAGAGGAACTCCTCAGATTCTTCAATAACCAAAGATCAGTTGAGTATGCTATCTACGGAATGATCAAGAACCAAGAAATCAAAAACTTCGAAAGCAGGAGAATTTTACAGAGAATTAAGTAATCAAATACTCTGATTTCTCTTATTCAATATTTAAAATTATTTGAGGGGTTTTGGGGTTTTGGGGTTTTGGGGTTTTGGGGTTTTGGGG